TCTGGGCCCTACCAGTCTACTCAGGACCACTACCTTGAGTACCCTTCCCTCCACAGCGTCCTGCTCTTACCCTTTTTGGCCTCTAAAACCTGGACCATGATGGCTTTCTGTTTCCCATGCTTCTGTGCTGCAGACATCCACTTGATTGGCTCCAACTAAAGATGTTTAGAATAAGTTGAAGAAGAGAGATAACTTTTCACAGATTTAACAGAACAGATTCAAACTTTATCAATTGACTTTCTGAACCAAAATTAGAAAAAAAAAATCACATCTCCTTATTAATCACAACCTAGAACACAAATCACAGAAGATTCCTCCAAATTCTTAACTACACACGGATGATTCCACTTGTACCTTGCTATCCCAGGTCTCCTCCTCTCTGAGAGAGACACACACATCCAACTGCCTACCTTAAATCTCTCTTTAATGTCTGAAAAGTTTGTCAAAGTGCACACTCCCAGGCATACTCCAGTCTTGCCCGCTTTGGTGTCCTATATCTTTCTCTCAATTAATGGCAATGCTGTGGATCCAGTATTGACATCCAGACACCCACTGATCCAGCTTGCCACCACCTTTTATTTCCTCATCCCTACATTAAGTCTTTCACTACTGTAACAACCTCCAAAGTGTTCTCTTTGCACTTGCTCATCTATTCTCAAACTACAGCAGAGAAATGTTTCCAAAGTGCAGTCAGATTATTTAAGGCATGCTCATGTCTCCTCCCTCCACTGTAGAACACATGAATGGATTTCCATTCCTGTTCGATATATATTATGTAACATAGTATAGCATAGCATAGCATAGCATAGCATAATATAATATAATATAATATAATATAATATAATCTGTATATCTGTACATCTATCTATCTATCTAGTTATCTATCTCCTGGAGCTCTAAGCAATATGAGGTCTAACCTCTACCTCCTCAGTATCATCCTGCTCCATCTGTTTTCCCGTTAGTTCTCTGTGCACCAGTCGTTCCAATCTTCTTTCCTGTGATTTCTTTGAATGTTTCCTACTATCTCTAACACATAACATTTGCACATGCCATTTCTCTCTGCTTTAATGCTCATTTACCAGGCATACTCCTACTTTTCCTTCAGATCCCAATTTCCTTCGGCCAGTATCCTTGACTGTCTGACACTCTCCTTCACTTCATTTGACATTTCTCTGTTATGATTTATATGTGATCCCATCTGATCACAGCTTGGCATGTATTTGTGTGTGATAGGTGCATCTGCCTAAGCTTTATGACTGCAGGGATGATAGCTATTTATTATTATCATGTTTACTTTGTTTACCATTATATGTAAACATGCATGGAGGAAGACTTCAATATATATTTGTTGAAATAATTGCATAAATAAATCACAGTTACTTTACGACAGATAAGAGCCCATGGGAAATTTTTTCCTTCCTCTACATTAGCACTACAGTCCTGAAGATTCCTTTTCAGCATGCTGCTGCTTAACTGATTGTCATTACTAGGATTCTCAAGGCTGGTCTCCTGTTGGAATGTCTTTTTTTTTTTTTTAAAGATTTCTTTATTATTTCAAATAAAGTCAGAGTTACAGAGAGAGAAAGAGAAGGAGAGACCTTCCATCCCCTGAATCACTCCCCAGATGGCTGCAATGGCCAGGCCAAAGCCAGGAGCTTCCTTCAGTTCTCCCATGTGGGTAGTAGGTATCCAAGCACTTGGGCCATCTTCTGCTGCTTTTCCCATTCTATCTTATTTCCAATCCAGCAGCTGGATTGGAAGTGGAGCAGCAGAGATAGGAACCAGGGCCCACGTTTGATGCCTGCATCACAGGCAGTGGATTTACCCTCAAAGGTAAAAGGAGAGTGTCATGGAAAAATGAGTAAAGATAAATGATAGTATTTTAAGTTATTGTTTATGCAAGCTATCTTCAGTATCTTAGCTGTAAAATGATTATAATAGTCAAACAATATCAAAATAAACTACACGGCCAACAATCTTCATTCAGTATAGAAAAATAGTTAAAATTATTTATTAGAGAAAATAATGCTTCAGCTTCATTAATATTTTCATTTTGTAATGATGTTCAAGATGTAAATAATTCCTTATAGTCTCCTGTCATGATCTTCCACTTGCAAGGCAACACAGACATGAATGGAAACTATGATAAGTTTCTTGGAAACTTAGGAGGATGTTATTTATGGATATCACAGTCTGACCATTATGAATGTGTATTGGGATCCTTGCTTTTCCTCATTAGTCTATTATTTAAATGTTGGTTGCCATTTGCTGAGAGATTATATCAATGTGATGGGTACTCGGGCCCAGCCTGGGCTGGGATTATGCTATTTGCTAATTTGTGGGGATGGTTATTATTTTACTTGAAAAAGACCTTTTCATATCTGGCAGGATTTTTCTAGCTTATTTTGTCAGTTATTAGTTCTTCATAATTTCTAAAGGCAAAGGGTATAATCTCAACTCAACATGAGAATTTTTGAGCTCAAAAGAGCCCTCAGAATGTTACAGAATCAAAGCATTTTGCTTTGAGATGGCAAAACCTTGCCTCAGTCTGTTTCACTGATTTTATTTTCATTGTATGAGAAAATATATATTGTTATACTCTGTTACTAAACATTCGGGGAAATATAATTGATTCAATGCTATCAATTTACTCACAAATGATTTTAGCTGCTATAACTGATGTTGGATAAGAAGGATGTCAAATTCTGAAACTTCTAGAATTTATATAAAAATAAGCATTTTTATATTCATTCTATTTTAGCCTATATATTTGTATGATTATGATTATTGATTATTCCTTAAAAATAACAGTTGATTCACAAATATTTGATAAATTTCCAGTATGTACAAGGCACTGGTATAATGCCTAAGATATAGAAATAAATGAGATGGAATCTTTTACCTTAAAGAGTCTTACAAACTCAGAGTTCCTATAAATACCATATAGTTCAAATTCTGGGTCAGCCACTTACTACTGTGTCAATTATTTTGCTGAATCCTATTTTACTGTGAAATGGAGATACTAATAATATCCAATTTATAAGATCATAATGAGAGTTAAGTGATACAATTCGCATTAAGCACTTTTCATACTGCTTGAACTATTGTCATTACTCCCTGTATGTCAGCCTTATTGTTGCTATAATTTTCAGAATTATTTACCATCCATAGATTGGAATGTATCCCAAGGCCTGAAAAAGGTTTACCTCTTGAGTATGTTTTATTTATTTGAAACACAGAGTGACATAGGCAAACGGGAAAAAAAGAGAGGAGAGAATATGGGATGATGCTGGCATTGCAGGCAATGTCTTAACCTGCTGCACCACAGAAGCTGCTCTCAGTTTTTAATTTATTAACTTTGTACAGTGGGTTAGAGTCAATTGAAGGAGACTAGAATCAACCATAGCAAGTGGGTCTGTCTTTAGATGTTATGGAAAGACCTATCACTCTTCCAAAATCTCATCTAAAGAAAGTATTTGTCATTATATATCAAAATATGATTTAATTGTAAATACTACTCGAAATAATAGTTGAGAAAAATCATATTGTATCACAAAATGATATTCTTTCTTTTTGTAGAGCTAATTTTGAAGAGTAAAGGGGGTATGGATAAAGGAAGAGGTGAAAGAAAGGTGAAGGTGTTTACAGAAGAGATGAGGGAATAAGCAGGGCTGTACAGAGGAGTCAGAGACCAGAGAAAAATGGCTGGCACCACCGTGCTCTTTAGAACTACTTCACAGTGCTCTTTAGAACTAACTCGGTGGTCATCAATCACTTGTTCAAATCTTCTTACCCCAAACTCCATCTATGTATTAGCCGACTTAATTGGGACTACTTGCTTATTGCAGATGGTGATTTTTTAGTCGTTGTTTATGTTTTGAATGTTCTCAAGCTGAAATTAATAGAACAGATTTATTAGGAATTGAGTAAGAGATCCACTAAAATTTCTTTTCTCAGTTTAATTAAAATGACATTTTAATGCAAAATGCACATGGAGTTTTGAAAGCCCTGATATGAAAGACTGGTGTCTATACAAATCAGAAAATTATTAAAATAATATTTATTTTATAGGAAACATATCAGAATTTATATAGGTGGGCTGATTTAAGATTTTTGTCCATGGATGCAAAACCATGAAATTTTACATTTCTTCTCTGGTTTTTGTTGTTGTTGTTGTTAAAACTACACTGTTCTCGAGGCCAGCGCTGTGGCACAGTGGGTTAATGCCCTGGCCTGAAGCCCCAGCATCCCATATGGGCGCTGGTTCGAGACCTGGCTGCAACACTTCTGATCCACCTCTCTGTTAGGGCTGGGAAAGCGGTAGAAGATGGTCCAAGTTCTTGGGCTCCTGCAGCCATGTGGGAGACCTGGAAGAAGCTCCTGGCTCCTGGTCGGATCTGCACAGCTCCGGCCATTAATGGCAGTGAACCATCGGAATGAACATAGGAGTGAAGATATTTCTTTGACATACTAACTTACTTCATTTCCTTTGACTGATTTCATTTCCACCGTGGTGATAGTGCTAGATCACATGGTGGTCCATTTTAAGATAGTTATATGCAGTTGTATAAAGATTCTTTGGCAGCATTTTACTATATTCTGGGGAGCGTGGTCGTTAAAATCATTGCTTCTAATGTCAGAGAGCCTGAATTTGCATCATTGCCCTCTCATTTGATAGCAGTATGAAATCTGAATTTAGTTTATCATTGTTAAGTGGCCATGAAACAATTTCTATTTTGTAGGATAAAGAGTAAAATGAGATTGTCCATATAAAATGATTGTTGACACAGTTTTTTGACACACTGCTGCGTAAGAAATAATGGCTAGTATCTTGAATTCCTGAATAATTTTGTTACTGCTATAGTTACTGAGCTCATACATCTCTCAATTCACTAAAGGTCAGCTGATCTAGGCTGGGTTTTAGTAAATGGCTCTGATAATCTTAGACATGTTTTATTGAGAATTTGATTCTGCTTCACACATTTTATATCTTCCCCCAGAAACCAGAGAGCTTGCCTATACTTGACCTTCTCAAGAAGATTGCAGATGTCTAAGAGATAAAGCCTATTGCTCAAGTGAGTCTCAAGACTTTGTTTCCATTCCACTTGACAACATTTCATTAATCAAGGTAATTTGCATGGATGAAATCACAGTCAAAAGTGGTGAATATATTCTCTGCCAGTTTAGTGAGAGAAACTGAAAAGCCATGTAACAAAGGGCTTGCCAACAAAAATATTGACCTTGTCTAAATACTGACTGAGTTTGCAGATTCAGAAGGCTTCCGTAGGCTAGGCAGCTCATGTCAAGAGCCTCGGTTAGGCACTGACATCATACACAAGAATGTTAATTGTTAAATTAACAACATGAGTCACTGTGCAATAACTCCCCATGCAGGACCTCTGTCCTCAATGAGTTGTACTATGACAGTTAACTGTGGTACTTGTTCTTAAACAGTTTTTTTTTTTTTAATGTGTGTGGGTGCATGTGTGTGAAAATTGTTGAAATCTTTACTTAGTGTAGAGTTAGTCTTCTGTGTACAAAGTTAATTGAGAATGAATCTTAATGGAGAATGGGAGTGGGAAGGGAGAAGGAGGAGGATTAAGTGTGGGAGTGTGGGTGGGACAGCAGATGTGGTGGGAAGAATAACTATATTCCTAAAGTTGTATATATGAAACTTGTATTCCTTAAAAATAATTTAATTAATTAATTAAAAACAAAAAAGGGTAAAAAAAAAGAATTTAGGCAGTTAGGACCCTCAAATATCTTCAGTGGCAAAAATCCCCATCACTCTGGTGCTGTATTCTTCCATAGCTTCATTCCTACTCTACTCAGCTGATCCCCATCATTCACTTCTGTCTCTTTTAACCCTTATTCTGTGTGTATAGACTATCTTGTGGTATTAGAAATTACTTACAGTCTTCAGCTGTGTCTTCCTAGATCCTGATTTCCTTTAACTGAAACTTGATTTTCTCCTAGTGAGGCAGATTCCCTTTCAATTCTGTCAAGTTCTTCCTTTGAACTCATTTGATAAAAGTTCAAGCGGTATATTCTTGATACTATTCATATCATATTACAAGATAATTTTCTTTTGCTCTGGCCTGATAGTTTCCTTATCAGTTGACAGTTTACACTTCTGTTTATCTTTTATCAACTCAGCATCACAAATTCACCTTGTTCTCTGATAACATCAGAGTTCCCAATCCATTACTTTATATAATGTCACTTTTGACTTTATAGTTTCTTAAAATTCCTTTCTAAGTTTCCATGATTTGGCATTGTTTTTGTTCCCACCATTGTTCAAATTCTCCCTTTACCTTACTGGAAATAATTTTCTGCCTCTTATCCCATGTGTGTAGGAATCCTTTAAAGTTTTGTCCTTAACATGTGACTTGTTATTTTTTTCTTTAGTAATCCAATTTGTCCCTGCAGGTTAAATGACTACTTCTAAGTGGATGAATCTCAACCTTATATTTTCCATATTGGCTTTCTTCCCGAGATACAGTACTGAACTTTCAACAGCCTGCTGGATCTCTCTTTACAGTCTATGACTTACGTGCAACTGTTTTGATGACCTCTATTTTTTAATTATATATTAATAGTCTCAGAACCCAGGACTAAAACTTTATGCATTTAATTCTGTTTAGTTTATTTTAATGTATCTACTTACTTCTCTTCTAATCTAATTATTCTTTTCCACACTCTTGTCTGTGATAGGGAACTCAAGCCAATCTAACAACCATCCATTAAATTCCTACCTTATGTCACTCTTGCAAGGCCCAGTAGATACAAATGTGAATAAGGTATTCATCCTTCAAGGAACAATATTGGAGGAGGCAGAAAATAAATATTTAGCCATAAAATAGAGATGATAGGGCCATTCTAGTTCCATAAACAAAATATTATGGGAACAGTAAGGAGCAAGAAATTAATTCTGATGTGAGGTTCTGTCAGAGTAGCCTTCACAAAGGAGGTGAAATTTGAGTTGTCTTTGAAAGATGAGTCAGGCATATCGCATTCTTGGCATTTAAAAGTTTGCAGTCTACAACATATGTAAACTGTGCCAAGAATCATAAGAAATGCTTGTCTGCCTATGGGAACATCAGTGGTATAGTATAAAAGGCTTATTTTCCAAGGTACTAGAGTCTTAGGAAAAATGTGTCTTCTTCTACTTTCTGGGTCTACCTCTTCTCCCTTCTCAGTCTTGATATCACCTTTCAGAGGTAGATTTATTTTTGTGTCCACTCTCACTAAATAGTTAGATTTCTGCTTCATTTTGCTTTGTGTTCTAGTCATTGATAAAATTAATTAATAGAAATTTAACTACTTTCAGGATCTGATTTTTGCTTACCTTGGTTAGGTATTCAGATAATAAGATTAAGACAAATAAGTAAATAATTATAATACAAAATAACTTGGCAGTTGTCATTAGAGTATTGTGAAACTCTTTGAGGAGTTATAGGGATTTAAAAGGTGAATTCCTTGCAAGTATGCCAACTTCTCCTGGCATAAATCTGGAAAATTTCATCTTGGTTGATTACCTAATTTCCCCCTTTTAATATGTCTTTTCTGCCTCCCTCTTTGGATGTCTCCTAAGAGACTTGATTGAGTTTATGAGTGAGAATACCTATGTTTATTCATGAAAATGTGTAGGTTCATTCTTATTTATCTGTGTTTTTTGAAGATGGTTTTCGGCCAGAGGTAGTAATAGATTACCTCATATTTCCTGTGCACAGGAACACTGAACATGAGTACTCCCTATTATTATGCACATAGTTAGGTGCGTCAGCAATTCCACAGTCTTTGAGTAAATGGAGAATATTCAGGTATCTACTGGTGGACTGAAGTAATCTGAATCTGGGCTTACTTCTGTCTCTTAGGGGATCCAGCTAAACACAAAAGGAGAGGAATGATTGCCTCAGATCAAGGAAGTTTATAACAGAAAATGAAATTAAACAAGGTCAACTCATAAGAAAAAGTGCATGGGGCCAGTGCCATGGCACACTAGGTTAATCCTCTGCCCGCAGTGCTGGCATCCCATATGGGTACCTGGTTCTAGTCCCGGTTGCTCCTCTTCCAGTCCAGCTCTCTGCTATGCCCTGGGATAGCAGTGGTGATGGCCCAAGTGCTTGGGCCCCTGCACCCACATGGGAGACCAGGAGGAGGCTCCTGGCTCCTGGCTTCATATCGGCGCAGCTCCGACTTTTGCAGCCATTTGGGGAGTGAACCATTGGAAGGAATACCTTTCTTTTTGTCTCTTTCTATCACTGTAACTCTACCTGTCAAATAAATTAAAAAAAAAAAGAAACAGTGCATGTTGATGAAGTGGTTTCATCAGGAAAGCCTAGAATGGTTTTGAGTTTAAGCTAGGATGAAGTGAATGGCATGCTTCCTTATTGTTCAGGAGCCCATAGCATTGGGACAAGGTTAAGCTAGAAATGGCAAATTATCTTTTCTTCCTTACAAGTTGTCATATGGACTCAGTATTAAAACAAGTAATTATATTTTTTAGTTTGACCTTGTAAGAATTTCTTTGAATTTACTATCATATTATGTTATGTTCTATAAATGTGTTTTTCTATTGCTATTTTTGTAGTAAGATTATATTTGAATAGTCTAAGAGTGTGCATTTCATCCAGAAATGCCAAAGGTGAATGTCTAGCCAAAATAAATATGAAAAGAAAGCTTGTGATTTTAAATATAGTATAAAATATAGGAAGAATTATACTAATTTTTTAAAATGTTGAAAACTGTCTATGATGGTGAGGGATTCATAAGAAATAAGGAAAACCTCGGTAGATTAATCATAGATATGTTTATAAAAGCAAATAAATATAAGCAGTGGTAGTAGAGAAATTAGAATTATTGGAATGAGGAAATGGCATTTGGCAGAGTGGTTAAGCTGGTTTTGATGCCTACATCCCATAGTGAAGTGTCTAGGTTCAAGTGTTTTCTTTGCCTCTAATTCTGGCTTCCTGATACTGTGTATCCTAGGAGGCAGTAGGAGATGGCTCAAGTAGTTGGATCCCTGCCATCCACGTGTGAGAGCCAGACTAACTTGCTGGAGTCTGGCTTTGACTTGGCACTGCCTTGACTGTTGCAGGTGTTTGGAGAGTAAACTAGAGGGTGTGAGAAATATCCCCTCCCTGCCTTTCAAATAATATAAACCAAATAAATAAAATGTGAAAAAATTTACTGAAACCAACTCTTTATTTTTGTCAAAAGTAGTCCTGATATAATCTTCAAAACTTTGAAAAGGCATTTCAATCTCAATATTTTTGCTAATTTGAAAAAGCAACAGGATCACAAGATGCTTCACTCCAAGGGCAATTTCCTCTATTGAATTCTTAAAATAATTGTCAGCTATTTAGAGGGAGAAACATTTTCAGAATATAATTAGTAGTACAATATCAAGAGGGAGGGTGTTGTGAAACACAGAGTTCACATGTGCCAAATGTATAAGAAAATGTAGTTTTCTCTAATAGAAGCAATCTAATACAGTAATGGAATTATTTAACAAAAGAAATTTTAATTATATGCATCACCATAATTCTTCATGCTTATTAGAGAAATCAAAACATTAAAGCTCTATTCAATAAATAACATTAACATTTTCCCTCATCCTTCAGTCTATTTTATGAATCTGAGAGAGTAGTTAGAAATTTTTAAAGCCCATATGAATGGTTGAAGAATGTGCAGAAGAGGGACTGCATTCAGGTTATTTATTTATTTATTTATTTAACTCTAGCAAGGATTTTCTAAGAATGTGAGGCTTAACTTTGAACTTCTGGAATGCAATAGACTAAAGCAACTTTTGGATTCAACAAAACTTGGTTTGAGTTGAGAGCCTTTGGCAAGTTATGACTCATACCCAATTCTCAATTTCTTCACCTACAAAATTAGGAAATTAATATCTAATTCTTTGTGTTGTGATGAGCCTAATATTTGCTATCAAATGTTATGGGTGTAATACACAAGGTACTCAATAAATCTTTTGTTCCAATTCTTTCTCCTATAAATAAAGCAAAGCATAGTTGAATAGTAGCATTGATGTTAAATCTAATGCTACTATTAGCAATGATTTCTGTTTATTGAGTATCTATTATATAATCATTATTGGGACAGAGGAGCATTGAGTCTGCACCTTTAATAAGCCAGCTGCTTTAAATTATCTTCTCTAGATATTTTCAAAAACAACATTGAAAGGAAAAAATTTGTAATGCAATTATACAGATAAAAAATGCAATTTTGCCAGAATAGCGCTCATTTCTATGCTGAACAATCTCAAATGTTAGGAGACTATACAAGCTTTGTTAGTTGTTCCTCATTTGAAATCACATCTCTTTGTAGTAACTAATAGGTATTTTAATAGGCTTATATGACATCCTAGGATACAAAATTTCAATTAGGCTGTGACTTCCCAGGTTTTTTTTTTTTTTTTTTTTTTTTTGTAGCTGTTGGATCTGTGACTTACATTCAGCTTTTCCTACCTTTAATTCCAAGTTATTTTCATTTATACCATTCTCTCTGTGGGTTGAAGACAACTTAGATAGACTATAAATTTCATAGATATATTTTAAAGGTTATCCTGAATAATTCTTTCTCTGGTCTTAAAGAAGTGAGAACAAGAGAGTATTCATACAAAGTAGTAGAAAAGAGTTTTAATTTGAGAAAACAGCTCTGAAACATTGTAATGTAACAATTAATGGATTACAGTTCACAATTATTCGTAAGTGCTGAAATATAACTGAAAAGTGATCGCTGTTAAATATAAGAGTGGGAATAAGAGAGGGAAGAGATGTGCAATTCGGGACATGCTCAAGCTGACTTACCCCAAACGGTACAGTTAGAAATATACCAGGGGATTCCAATTCAATCCCATCAGGGTGGCATGTACCAATGCCATCTCACTAGTCCCAGTGATCAATTTCTGTTCACAATTGATCATAATGATAGGACTAAGAACCAAAGGGATCACATAAACAAGACTAGTGTCTGCAAATACTAGCTGATAGAATAAAAAAGGGAGAGAACGATCCAACATGGGAAGTGAGATACACAGCAGACCTATAGAATGGCAGATGTCCTAAACAGCACTCTGGTCTCATAATCAGCCCTTAAGGCATGCGGATCCAGCTGAAAAGCCCATGAGAGTATTTCAGGCATGGAAAGCCAAGACACTCTGGGGGGGGGGGGGGGGGGGGAGAAGACGACCTAAATGAAAGATCTCCGTGAGTGAGATCCCAGTGGAAAGAACGGGTCATCAAGGAAGGAGGTACCTTTCTCTGAAGGGAGGAGAGAACTTCCACTTTGACCATGGCCTTGTCTAAATATGATCAGAGTTGGTGAACTCAGGGGGCTTCCATAGCCTTGGCAGCTCATGACAAGAGCCTAGGGTGGTTGCTGAGGCCATAAACAAGAGTGTCAATTTGTTAAGTCAACAACAGGAGTCACTGTGCGCTTGCTCCTCATGTAGGATCTTTGTCCTTAGTGTGCTGTACATTGAGATTTAATGCTATAACTAGTACTCAAACAGTATTTTTCACTTTATGTTTCTGTGTGGGAGCAAACTGTTGAAATCTTTACTTAATGTATGTTAAACTGATCTTCTGTATATAAAGAGAATCAAAAATGAATCTTGATGTTAATGGAAGGGGCGAGGGAGTGGGAAAGGGGAGGGTTGCGGGTGGGAGGGACATTATGGGGGGGAAGCCATTGTAATCCATAAGCCGTACTTTGGAAATTTATATTCATTAAATAAAAGTTAAAAAAAAGAAAAAAAAGAAAACAATTAATGGAGGGTTTTTTTTCTACAGATTTAAAAATATGGAAGTGAATACAACCATGTTTGGAGAAAGATATGTTGGGAATTGGCTAAATGATTCATTCTCCAGGATTAAAATTATGTTTTTCCACCATGTATTTTAACAACTTTCCCATCAACTTCTCTGCATACTTAAAAAAGATTTTGTTTGCTCTCCTTGCCCATGTGTTTATCACCCAAACTCATGTACCTATACCCTATACCACAAAAACAGACAGAAACCTGGAAACTTTTCTCTTTTTTGTTTCTGAACTTTTAATAGATAATAGTAAGCTATATCTAAGTTGCCCATGATTCAGAACATGACTTTCTGATGAAAAGATGATGAAACAGACAGGCAAGGTGGGCAGAAACAAATTGGAATGCTCAGCTACTCAGAGAATGAATTTAATGAGCCTAACACTTTTTCTTTGATTCTGCAGACTACACTTTCAGCTGATGCAAGGGTTGGACACTTTGCTTTTCTCTTCAATACAACAAGGTAAAGACTTTAACTTTTTGGCACACACATGCTAGGTAATTGAACCACTTGAGATTGTCATGGGTGAAATGGGATGGAAGCTTCTATCAATGTCATCCTTACAGTGCCCTTTTCTCTGCATCCAGTGGGTTGAAGCCAATGATATTCTAAAAGAGATTCCAGTATAGCTATTACTCTTTTGACAACTTGTCTTACCTTTGGAATCAAGCTTTCAATTTGTTGCCTGCCTTAAATATCATCACTATATATTTCTTATACTGATATGTTTATTTGGAAGATATCATTTTGAAGTTTAATATGTAAGAAAATTTCTAAGTACTGGCATAACAGTATATTTATGAAAACAAATGGAAATTATACAATGTTAAGATTAGTAATCATTCTAGTAGTGGCATTGTGTGTTAACTGTTGTTTTCTGTTTAGGCAGTCATTAGTCAAAGGCCGGATTGTGGTATTCTCATCTCCTAAAGGGTCTGCTCAGATTCTTTATTGAGTAGAAATTTGTAGCATTTAGCTACTACATCCCAAAAAGAGTGTTTGTAATGTAAGTTGAAATCCTTATATTTCCTAGCTTTATCTGCTTTTTAGCTGTGACTTCCCACTAGATGAAGATGTTTACATTGTACTTTAGACAATACTTTTTTTTCTAATTTATTTGTAATTCAGAAAATATTCATTCTGGTAATCATTATGCCCAGGTTCTCTAGGTACTTATGATTTAAAAAGTGTTTCCTCCTACTCTTAATCCAAAGTATTTAAATAATTACTCATCTCCACTTGTCAATCCTGATATAAGTCCTCTTTGAGAGAGAACAATATGTATAACAATCTCAATAGGCACTAAATGGAAATATCACATCCTTCTTGATATTTTTCTCTTGAATATTTTCTTTTCTTGCTATGATTTCATTATAATTAATTAATATAGTCATTACATTCTATTGAGTTTCCTTTTGCTTTGTTGTGTTTTCAATTGCATTTTTTTGAACACTTAATAAAGTACAGGTCAACATGAGCTCTTTGTTTTGAGCTTTGATTTTGAGCCAGATACAGTCTGTACTTATTTAATGTAACTCAGTCTGTTAAAATGTATTGAGAAGATTCTAATTTATCCAGACAAGACATTAGGTAACTTCAACCAATGAAGATCCTGTCGGATAAATGATTTTAATTCACATCATCCTTAATTCATACAAGTCAGTGTTTTACTCAAGGCATAACTGAATTTTATTGGATCCATCAAAAGGAGTTTATTATATTTCAGCTTTTAGAAAAGAATAAGCATGCTTTGATTAGAATCCATTCTTTTAAGAATAATAATGCATTTCCAAACTGCCTTTATCATTAAGAAATTATTCACCTGTAGAGTTTTTGTCAGAACATATGCCTGTGTTATGCAGGTAAACTAGTATAAAAATGTCAGCACTGCAGTTCTCACTGTGTATATGTATGCAGAGTGCACATAACCAGGAAATATGCACTCCAGGTGATGTGCGCAAATGCAGAACTAAGAAATATTATCCTGTAAGCTTGTCAGTAGTGTACAGGATGCAGTCTCATTTTTCTAATTTATGCTACTAGTCTATAGCTTACATTAGAATTGACGGTATATATTTGAGAGACTACTACATAAAATAGTAAGCCCTTTCTCTTTACAGTAACAGTTTTACTCTCGCATTTTAGGTGGTGTTACTTTGGGAAAATCAAATTTCTTTTTGTTTTTTCCTAATTAAAGTTTGTTTTAATGGGTCTCAAAAATCTGTGACAGATTGTTGGTTAAGTTGTTTCCATTAAAAAGTACTGATTTTAAAAACTAATAACTTAACAAGACTAGTGTCTGCAAATACTAACCGATAGAATAAAAAAGGGAGAGAACGATCCAACATGGAAAGCGAGATACACAGCAGACCCATAGAATGGCAGATGTCCTAAACAGCACTCTGGCCTCAGAATCAGCCCTTAAGGCATGCAGATCCGGCTGAAACGCCCATGAGAGTATTTCAGGCATGGAAAGCCAAGACACTCTGGCAAAAACAAAACAAAACAAAACAAAACAAAACAAAACAAAAACCTAAATGAAAGATATCCATGAGTGAGATCCCAGTGGAAAGACAGGTCATCAAGGAAGGACGTACCTTTCTCTGAAGGGAGGAGAGAACTTCCACTTTGACTATGACCTTGTCTAAATATGATCAGAGTCGGTGAACTCAAAAGGCTTCCATAGCCTTGGCAACTCATACAAGAGCCTAGGGAGATTACTGATGCCATAAACAAGAGTGTCAAATTGTTAAGTCAACAACAGGAGTCACTGTGCACTTACTCCTCATGTAGGATCTCGGTCCTTAATGTGCTGTACATTGTGATTTAAGGCTATAACTAGTACTCAAACAGTATTTTTCACTCTGTGTTTCTGTGTGGGTGCAAACTGTTGAAATCTTTACTTAATATATGCTAAACTGATCTTCTGTATATAAAGAGAATCAAAAATGAATCTTGATGTGAATGGAAAGGGAGAGGAAGTGGGAAAGGGGAGGTTTGTGGGTGGGAGGGAAGTTATGGGGGGGAAGCCATTGTAATCCATAAGCTGTACTTTGGAAATTTATATTCATTAAATGAAAGTTAAAAAAAAAAGCTAATAACTTAAAACTACCACATACACACACACACACACACACATAGCCCACAAAACATTGTCCTTTCCTTCTGAAGGGTTTATGCTGCATCGTTATCATTAGCCAGTCTTTTACTATTAAACTTAAATGGCCAGTCAGGACAAACGGTTCTGAGACTGTTCTTCCACCACTAAGATTGGGGTGGCAGGTATTAGGGATAATATTCATTTAGCCTTCTGAGCTTTCTAGGCAGACTTGGTGACCTTGCCAGCTCCAGCAGCCTTCTTGTCCACTGCTTTGTTCACACCCACTGCAACTGTCTGTCTCATATCATGGACAGTGAGACAACCCAGAGGAGGACAGTCAGAGAAGCTATAAACACACATGGGCTTGCCAGGAACCACATCAACAATTGCAGCATCACCAAATTTTAAGAATTTAGGGCCATCTTCCAGCTTCTTTCCAGAACAATGATTAATCTTTTCCTTCAGCTCAGCAAACTTGCAAGCAATGTGAGCTGTGTGACAATTCAGTACAGGGGCATACCCAGCACTGATTTGACCTAGATGGCTCAGGGTGGTCCCCTGAGCAGTGAAGCCAGCTGCTTCCATTGGTGGGTTATTTTTGCTGTCACCAGCAATGCTACCACAACAAACATCTTTGACAGACATGTTCTTGACATTGATGTCCACATTGTTCCCAGGGAGAGCTTCACTCAAGCTTCATGGTACATTTCAGTGGACTTGATGTCAGTTGATTTGAGAATACCAGTCTCCACTCGGCCCATAGGGACAGCACCACCACCACCAATTTTGTAGACATCCTGTAGGGGCAAATGCAAAGGCTCGTCAGTTGGTCTAGTTAGTGGGAAGATGCAATTCAGGGCTTCAAGCAGTGTGGTTCCACTGGCATTGCTATCTTTGTGGGTGACTTTCCAACCCTTGAACCATGGCGTATTAGCACTTGGCTCCAGCATGTTGTCACCATTCCAATCAGAAATTGGCCCAAATGCTACTGTGTTGGGTTGCAGCCAATTTTCTTAATGTTGGTGCTGACTTTCTTAATGATTTCCCTGTATCTCTTCTGGCTCTAGGGTGGCTCAGTGGAATCCATTTTGTTAACACCAACAATTAGTTGCTTCACACTCAGTGTGTAGGCCAGAAGGGCAAGCTTGTCTATCTGCTCGTTCATGGAGTTTCAAATTCCCCAACATCAGCAGCAACGATCAGGATGGCACACTCAGCCTGAGATGTGCCTGCAAGCATGTTTTTGATAAAGCTTCTGTGTCCTGGGACATCTGTGATATTCACATAATACTTGCTGGTCTCAAATTTCCCCAGAGAGTTGTTGATGGTTATACCAAGCTTACGCTCAGCTTTCAATTTATTGAAGACCCAGGCATACTTGAAGGAATCCTTTCCTATCTCAGCAGCCTCCTCAAATTTTTCAATGATTCTTTTGTCATTGACACCACATTTGTAGATCAGATGGCCAGTAGTGGTGGACTTATCCAAATCTACATGTCCAATGATGACAATATTGATGTGAATCTTTTCCTTTCCCAATTTGGCAGTGGTTTTCATGCTACCTGTGTTCTGTCACCAAACCCATTGTGAAAAAATAGAAAATCTAAGTTCTGAGCAGGGCCAGGGAATGGGGCTAGTGTTAACACTGCCAAAAACTGTCAATAATCTGAAATTGTTTGCCTTGTAAGCTAGCAAGTTAAAAATATAATTTCATAAGTGCAATAAGAAGGCATGAGACTCTGTAGTCAAGACTTTGTAACTCATGGCAAGAGCTGTTGCCAGAGTTTAGACATTTTTATTGTACCAGATGCCAGAATCTGAATTTCCACAAATGTGAAGGGGGTCATTGGACACATGTTCATGCAGTATGTTAAGTTTTGGGGAGAAAATTTGAGTTTAGAGAACCTAAATATCTTTTTAGAAAGGATTCATTTATTTGAGAGGCAGAATGAGGGAGGGAAGGAGAGAGCAACTCCCAACTGCTGATTCACTTCCCAAATGCTAGCAACCGCCAGGACTGGGCCAGCACTAAATGTAGAAGGTAGGAATGCAATCCATGTCTTCCACGTTCGTGCCAGGAACCCAACCACTCCTTGACCTGTTACTGTTACCTCTCATGGTCTGCAAGAGCAGGAACTTGAAATTGAGACTGGAACTGGAACTGATAAAAGATGGGGGGCATTCCAACTGCGGTCTTAAACACCAGGCCAAATGCCTGACCCATGAAGCAGTCTGCCATTTTCTATGGAGAGAGGCATGCTTTCTTATTCAAGGCTATATTCTATACAAATACCCTTGAGTAAATTTCAGGACATAGGGCAGTCAATGTCTCCGCTTTTAATACACACAGAAAAGCAGGAGATCCACA